CTTTGAAGTGAGAAGCCGTGAAGATGGCTGGGGCAAAGGTGAAGCGTGTGTGACAGAAGTTTACATTCCAGGCAGAGGGTGGGTTGCAAGGCTCAGTAAAGAGTCTATTGATATTCAGCGCTTTGACCCGCTCACAATAACTGTTGGCCCTGGGGTCACCGCAGAGACACATCCCTGCATTATGTGGCAATGGAGGCAGACAGACCTGATGGGGTTTCATTTGCTCTGCTGAGGGACCAGTAGGACGTGGGCCATGTGGTCACCAGTTGCTTTTGGGGTGGGAACAGGGTGCGAGGCCCGAGGTTCAGGGAGCTCTGGGTGAAGGAATTCCTGCCCATTCCGCATCCCAAAGAGCAAACAATCCTAAAATAATTCGCCCAGAGATTTACAGCAGGATGGGTATTTTTCGAAACCTCATCCAGAAGAGAAAGGAGAAAATTAATAGCGTATCCTGAAGCTGGAATTTTAAAGGGCACAGACAGAGTAAGGGAACACCCTGCTGTTGCTATTTCTTTCTTTGTGTTTAAAAAAAAATTGCCTCTCCTGACTTTGAAAGTAGCTACTGCTTTTTTTAAAGGAAAAAAAAAAAATCAAAGCTCTACCAACCATTTCTTTTTGACAATGGAGAGTGCGTTTTCCCCTGGTAGTCAACTCATTTTGAATACAGTTCTACCGGTCTTGTAGAATACACACCATGCATGGACTATTTTTATTATGGAAAAGCTAAGCAGACTCACAGCAGGGGGAGTGGGTGGGTGTGTGCTGGGGGAGGGGAGGGGGAAGAACACCACACACTTGTTTATTCCAGGAATGAAGGCGTCCTCCCTCGGAGGCCCTAAGCCTGCAATCCCATGAGCTTTGTAGTCCTCACGACCTCAGTGGGAGCCCCTCTTCTGAAACAGCACCCAAGACTGCCTATGCAGGGTGGCCCTTACTGTTTAAGTCCCTCCCACAGGCAAAAAGCAAATCCCAGGAAGGACCATGAAGGCTCACGCAGCTCCTCCCACTAAGCAGACAAAGGCCAAAACCTGCTGTTGTCGGAGTGCCCATTCCTTTCCCCCTGCCTGTCTGGTCCATGACTGTAGCCACCACTCAGGTCTTGTCTCATGGTGTTATCGGAGTACCCATTCATCCCACTGCCTGTCTGGTCCATTACTGTAGCCACCACTCAATTCTTGTCTCAATCACGTTCAAAGGGTGACTGTTTAAAGAAAAAGAGGTCCTTCTGTCTACTCCTGATCAACTACCCTCTACCTGTGTGTCTCTATACAAAGACTGCATTTTTGTTATTCTTTATGTATTATTGAATATGTATTTATATTTTTTATTATAGCAAATCAGATCACTGTGTGATGGAGGGCGTGCTGAACTTTGAAGGAAGAAGGTGGGCACAGTGGCCATTGTGTAAGGTGGACACTCACAGATGCGGGGGTGCCATCCAGACAAAAGCTTCTCATCGAGGACTTGGTCCCTTCTGAAAGGGGTACCCCCTTCTCCCTTTCTGTGTGGAGCGTAGACCACCCGCAACCCAGCTGGCCCTTGCGCGTTATCCTGGTGGTCAGCTGTTTGGCTTTCTCTCAAGGGCAGAGACTAGATAGACACTTACGCTTGTACTTGTGAGATTACAGGTATCTTCCCAAGGCATGTATGACGCCAGCTCAAGCTGCCTCCAGACATTCGTAGGCACTGACTTGGGCGCTTGCCCAGCCCCATTTCCCCACTCTTTCCCTGGCTCTTGTCTCAGCGCTCCTGCCATCTTGTCCAGCCCACTAATCACATATATTTGATCCCCAAAAGAGTAGGAATCCTGCGGGCGGATGGGACGCACCTCCATGAACAATATGTAGTCATGATCTAAGTGAACCAAGTGAAAGGAGGAAAGACTATCCCAGCCTCGAGGAAGACCAGAGGATGTTTCACAGCCCCAAGGCCTTCAGTTCAGCCAGGCTCCGACAGGGTCAGCTCACAGAGGAGTCTGTTGAATGGGTCAGCATGACGATGGAGATGGGGAGAGCCTCCTGTCCTCCTCAACATGCACACATGCACACATACATACACAGGCACACACTGCACTCTAATACACATGCTCGTACACACACAACTCTCTCATACACATGTACATAGATGCATTCACATACACACTCACATGCACTCACAAACTCATGCACACACATGCACAAACTCATGCACACACTCAAAAACTCATGCACACACATGCAGACACTCAAAACTCACACGCGCACACACTCACAAACTCACGCACACACTCATAAACTCATGCACACACGCACACACAAACTCATGCACACACTGACAAACTCACACACACGTTCACAAACCCATACACACATGCACACGCTCAAACTCATGCACACAATCGCACACACAAAGTCATGCACACACATAAACTCATGCACACACACATGCACACTCACAAACTCATACACATGCACACACTCACAAACTCATGCACACACTCACACATTCACAAACTCATGCGCACACTCACAAACTCATGCACACACACAAACTCATGCACACACTTACAAGCACACACAAACTCATACAAATGCAAACACATGCACACACGTGCATACTCACCCACCTACACAAACATGTACATGCCACTCTCCCATACACATATGTGTGCACACATGCTCTCCTCCTCTTAACCACCTTCCCTCCCGAATACGTTTCACGTCTCTAATTTTAGGGCTCTGCCCCCATCACAAGCTCTTCTGGAGAGGGAAACCGCTCAGGGAGAAGGCTAAAGTCACAGTGGCATTTGACAGGCACGTTATTTGCTTTGGCCATGACTTGATTTGAGGTCTCTATCACTGACCCTCCAGTTGGGTTTCTTTCTGCCTGGAGGCTGGACCGCCCGATATCGGGAGGGAGCTCCTGGCTGTCCTCTCCTATGAGTTTACGCCGATTTTTAAATAGAAAAATGGAATCAGAGCCGACTTTTCTGAAGAGCAGCCTAATAAATTATTAAATAAAAGAGAGTCCTTCAACTCACCACCCCCATTTCCTTATCATCTGATTTTTTTTTTTTCAAATTTCAAAAAAGAAGATTAAGGTTTTGTTTCTCTTCTTCCTCATGCTAGGGCTTTTTAAAACACCATTTAGAGTTAGGATGGCCACTGCCTCCGAGGGGCAGCCCTTGAGTGGAGGGTGGCCGCCACTGTCTTGGCTGCCTTTGTGTCCCTGGCCTCTCCCCAGAATTTCTCCTGCGTGTTCTTTTTAATTTTCCTCGTTGAAAGGAACGAGTGATCCTTGTGCTCAGATGGCGTTACTGACACCCCCAGCTGAGAATGAGTAATTATTCCCACTCCGCTGTGGCTTTGATAAGGTTCTGAGGGCTGCCTTTGGCGCAGTTGCTCAGCCTTTGTTCCGCTGAAGTTATTTTCCTCCTTAGGAAATGAAAAAAGATGGAAGATGACAACGCCATCAAGGGAACGGGGAAACACCAACAAGTTATTAACCTCTAAAAAAGCCATTAATCCCCCTGCCAAAGGAGGGAGACGCCAGGATGACGCGGGGCGCGTGGCAAGCTTTGCGGCAGGTTTTCAGGAGCAAGGGAGAAAAAAGCGTCAAACACGTGGAAGTTACTTGCCTAACTCAACTTGCAGGGAGCGTGGTTACCGAGGTGGTAGAGAGCAGTGGCGCCACCCCACCTGATTTTGGGGGGCTTCTGGCTTCTCTGTGGCTGCGGAGACTGCATTTCCCCACTGGAAGGCCTGGAGTTGGGCGTACCAAGGGGGCTTCTCCATCAGGGAAGGACCTGGTTCTCCTGCTGGTGGGATAAGAGGTGGGGTCTTGCAGGATGGTTTGCGGAGCAGGTGCTATGGGCTGAATTTGTCTCTCCCTAGATTCATATGTTAGAGTCTCAATACTCGGTACTTCAGAGTATGACTGTACTTGAATATAGGACTTTAAAACAGGTGATTAACTTAAAATGAGGCCTTTAGGGCGAGCCCTAATCAGATTCCAGTGATGTCTTTATAAGAGATTAGGACATACGTGTGCAGAGGAACAACCACGTGAGGATACAGGGAGGAGGCGGCATCTGCAAGCCAAGTAGAGAGGCCTCTGCAGGAACCAGCCCTGCTGACACCTTGAGCTTGGACTTCCAGCCTCCAGAACTGAGGGAGAGCACATGTCTGTTTAAGTCACATGATCTACGGCACTTTGGGATGGCCACCCAAGTTCCCTAATACAGCAGTTGACAAGAAGAATTTAGATTTAAATGTCCCTTCCACTTTAAATAATATAAAAGTCTTTCATTTCCAAAACCCTCCTTTGAACTCTTCAACATTGGCTGTAAAATAATTGCCTATAAGCACCACATGACAACTCCTAAAATTCCAGGGAAAGAAACTTACAGGCAAATCAATTGGTGGCCAGAGGACAATGGCTGGAAGCTTCTGTTCTTAGCTCCTTACCCTTTTCCTTGTAGATTATGAGAAAGAAAACACGAAGATAAACCACGGTCAGTGAAAATGGTCCATCATTTATGTCTTGGTGGCAAATTTGGGTTTATAATATGCTAACCTAACTCCTTTCCTTGGGTCACTCCAAATCTTGCGTCTGGATGCTGAAAATGTTTTCCATGTAATTTTCCCCAGCATTCTAGCTGCATGAAGACCCACTTGTTCTTTCCCTCTGATTTCTGATTCTGCCACAGGCACTGTTAGAATTAGAGCACTGATAAGGAAAAAAACTGGGCCAGGATTTAAATTAATGCTTTTAGACAAATATCCGTTCCATCTCCAATTCTAATGCTAATTACATTTGTGGATCAAAGACCATTCGTTAAAGTTTTGCTTTTGAAAAACAGGGAGAGATTTTACTTTCTTGTTTGATATTTTTATGGGACTTGATGGGAATGGTAGGGGGTGGGTGGTGGGGGGAGACAAGAATCTAGGGAAGCCGACCTCATGCAGAGAGGGTTTGTGGGGGTGGGGTGAAGGGCAAGTTTCACAGGGTTCCCGAAGCCCTCTGGCGGCTCAGAGTCCGAAGCTCCGAGGTTGTGCCTTCAGCTCTCTCACCTGCTGCGGTGGCTGTCTTGGTCACACAAGAGGACAGTCAATAAGGGGCTAAAAAAATGGGAAGAACTGATTCGTGAAAAGCCATGGAGGAAACTTAAATGCATATGACTAAATGAAAGAAGTGAGTCTGAAAGACTACATGCAGAATGATTCCAGCTAGATGACATTCTGGAAAAGGTAAAACTTTGGAGACAATAAAAAGATCAGAGGGTGCCAGGGGTGAGTGGGAGGGAGGGAGGAATGGTCGGAGTGTGGAGGAGTTTTAGGGCAGTGAAGCTCTTCTGTCTGATGCTGTAATGGTGGGTACATGTCATTATAAATTTGTCAAAACTCATAGAATGTACAGCACCGACAGTAAACCCTCATGTGAACTATGGACTTTGGGCGATAATGACGTGTCACTGCAGGTTCATCAAGTGTAACTAATGGACCCTCTGGTGGGCGATGCTGATGGTGGGGGAGGCTGTGCCTGTGTCGGGCAGCGGGGAGGATAAGAAAACTCTGTTCTGCTCAATTTTGCTGTGAACTGCTCTTTAAAAAGTCTATTTAAAAGAGGGGGGAATAATTGATAGAATTTTTAAAACCTAAGCCAAGTTACTTTTTGGTCTGGGACCCACATCATAGCTACACAGAACCCAAGTTGTTTGGGGAGCAGAGGAGGGAATCAAAGCAAATATGACACTGAGTTGACCCCAAGACTCCACAGAGCATGGAGGGATTAGCGGGGCAGGGAGATGGGTTTGTCAGCAGGAGGGAGCAGAATAAGAAAGGGACGGAGGGAGGGATGGAAAATGCAGTCCAGGGACAGAATCACAAAAAGCCAGTTTCTGAAATGAAGATGTAACAGCATTAAAAGCCAGGAAGAAGCTTAAACGGGGAGATGGGCAGCCTGCAGTCAGAAGACGGGTTTCCGGGAATAAATAGGAAATGCACACGCTAAAGGCCTTCCCTCCTCTCCACCCCAGCCACCCGCCGTGAGTTTACACAGTCACACTTGTGGGCGTGCCTCTAGGTGTGGGGTGCCACAGGGGACAAACACAACTTGTGTTTGTGTGGTTGGGGTTTGTTTATATCTTTCATCCCCAATCCCTTTCTCCTGGCCTCAACACCAGCCACAAACTTACTTCTGACACATTCATTCGTTTATGGGATGAATATTCAAAGAGCTTGCCTCCTAGACAAAGACACTGAATAAGTAAACAAACTCCCAGATGAAGTTGTTCCCAGTAGTAAACCAGGGCGAGGGAGCGGGACGTGGGTTTGTTCAGAGGGGGTGTTCCTGGCAGGCTTTCTAGAGGAGGCCACGTTGGAACTGAGGCCTGGATGACAAGAGTTGGAAACCACGTGGAGATCTGGGCAGAGTATTCTAGACAAAGGTGGGGCCAAGAGTGAAAGCCCCGAGGCTGGAATGTTCCAGAAACGTACCAGAAGCCCAGCATCCGAGCCTCAGCATACAGAGCCTGAAGGTCGTGGGGTGGTTGGGGGCAGGGTGGGGGGTGGCGCTCCAGCTTCTGTGGGCTCCTGTCCTGAGTTGAGGAAACCCCTGACTTGAGCCAATGGGATGGCTGGTCACCTCCACCACAAAGGTCAGATCCTGCAGGAGCCTGGGCTCTGGTTAAGGGGCTTGTTGGACTTTAACCAGGGAACCACGGAGCGCATGCCTGAGCTGTGATCTGTGTTGTGGATTCTGGCTGCAGGCAGTGTCATTCCCAGGGTGGCCTAATGCTCCGAGCTGGATGTAGCGCGAAAGCCATGCACACTCTGCTCATAGAATCCTGCCCACCCCCCACCCCCACCGTGTCCCTGCCATGGGCCAGCCCTTGTCTGCACCTCCACTCCAGGCCTCATTTCCTGATGGTGTTCTCCCTTCTCTCTGAATTCCAGGGAAAGCTTCAGCTCTCCTGGCCCGCCCCGTGCTGATAACGTCCAGAAAGAAGACAGCCTCTGTGGTTCTTGCCTGAGCCACGCATCCTGGTGGCCTTTGGAAAATGCCAGGCGGTCCCTGAGTTGACTAAAAGCTTCCATGAGTGGTTATGGAGATAAGATGCTTCCCCCAGTGCCTTTCTAAGAATGGTGCTTGTAGCACTGGCCCTCACGGCTCCTTGCAAAAGTAAACACCTCAACCGCCCACCACCAAATCTATGGTGTTTCTGGTATCTGCACCCACCTCACTTCTTCCTGCATTGATGGAGAGAATGCTCCTTCCCTCAGTCAACAGCCAGGCCCTCTTCCTATTTTCTGGAAACCTCTGCCCTCCACCGCTCAATGGCTGTACCTTCTGCTGACCCTTCCTTTTCCAGAAAACTCAATCTGTCCTCAGTGGGTCATTTCTTTGACACACGGACTTGCTTCATCTACTCTAGTGAGTCACAGACCTTCTTCTGTCTTGCGCACCACCTGTCACCCCTGCCTGTGCCAGGCTTCTCTCCACAGCACAGCCCACGCAAGCTCGGCCTCACCTCCTCACAGCCACACCCTCTGTTCGCTCCTCCAGCCTCTTGGTCTGGCTCCACCACCGCCCGTCACGTCCAGCTCTCTGCAGGATGCTGGTTACTTCCAATTCAATGATCGCTTTTTTCTTCTGCTTTTCCTCAGTTTTTAAAAATTGATACCTAATATTTGTACATATTTATCTGACCATGTGATATTCGGTTACATGCATAGAAGGTGTAATAATCAAGCCAGGGTACTTGGGGTGTCCATCGGCCCTGTGTTTACCATTCCTATGTGGTGGGAACATCTGAAGCCCTTCCCTGTAGTTATTTTGAAATATGCCACACCTTGTTATTAACTATAGTTGCCCTTCTCTGCTCTCAAACGCTAGAACATCTTCCTTCTAATTGCATGTTTCAGTCACTTGTGGGTCATCGAAGCTCAGCGACATTGCATGCAACCATCTCGCTTCCTACTCCTTGAAGCTCTCCTCTGCTTCAGTCTCCAGGCCCCCAATTTCCTGGTCTTCCCTCCCCTGCCCAGCCGCTCCCGTGCCAGGTACCTTGCTGGGCCTCCCTTTCCTTCCAGTCTCTGTGCAGAATTTCCTCCAGGTCATTCCTGGCTCCTCCTCTCCTCTCACTCCAACACCTTCCTGGAGATAAGATCATTCATTCTCATGACTTTGTATGTTTTATGTTAAACAGACCCAAATGTATATCTCCAACCCAAACCTGAGCTCCAGACTCATGTATCTTACTGTGTGCCTGTACCTCTACTCAGAAATTGAATTTTTGGGCTGAAGTTTGAATTTGGAATTGTCTTCCTGAAGTTAACCTCTGTAGAGTAGCACACACCTCAACCACCCACGTCTGTAAACGCCACTGCCACTACCTGGTCTGAGCCCCACCTTATCCTGCCTGGCCCCTGCAATTACAGTCTCCTAAATGTTTTCCCTACTTCCGCCCTCAGCCTCACTTCCCAATCTGTTCTCCAAACAGTTGCTTAAAACCCTTTATTGGGCCTTGTCTTCAGAGGAAGATGCAGTCATGGGGACTGTAGAGCCGTGGTCCACCTGCTCTCACTCCTGACTCACCGCCGTTGGCTTTTACCAGCGAACAAGTTGGTCAGGAAGCCGCGATGGACCATGTCTTTTAAAGACACTAGAAAACACCCACAGGGCCAGAGGTGGCAATTCACCGAATTCGAGCTCCTTAACGAGCCACAACGTGCAATCCCTGGAGAAGGTGTGCAATCTCCAAGTGAAAGGACTGGCCTAGCTGCCTCCCGAGTCTTTGAGAACCACTGCAGGAAAAGCTCCTAGTGGTGAAGGCTCTTGACGCGGGCTTGCTTCCAGAGGAGAATCCACCCGCACCTTGCCCACCTCCACGGCCTTCCCGACTGCCAAGTGGATTATTTTCATCAGTGTGGAGCCAGGAGTTGGGGTCAAAGTCACCACTGCAGATGGTGATATCAACTATCTTAATTCACTGATTAACAGTTTAAAAGCATCCCTTATTGAGCTGAGCGCAGTGGCTCACACATGTAATTCCAGCACTTTGGGAAGCTGAGGCGGGTACATCGCTTGAAGTCAGGAGTTTAAGACCAGCCTGGCCAACATGGTGAAACCCCGTCTCTACCAAAAAAACAAAAAATTAGCCAGGTGTGGTGGTGGTCGCCTGTAATCCCAGCTCCTCAGGAGGCTGAGGCAGGAGAATTGTTTGAACCTGGGAGGCGGAGGTTGCAGTGAGCTGAGATCGCACCACTGCACTCCAGCCTGGGTGACAGAGCGAAACTTCGTCTCAAAACAAACAAACAAAAAAACCCACCCCTTATTGGTTTCTCATGGGTGTGAGAATGAACTCCCGCCCCTCCCCTGCCTGCGGGCTTCTCCAGGCCTGGCCCTGCCGCATGGTCAACCTCATCTCCTGTCACGCTCCCTGCACCCTACTAGGCTCCAGGCGGCCTGAGTATTCCACACGTGCCCTTCCCGGGCAGGGCCATCATGCCTGCTCTTCCCTCTTTCTGGAATGTTCTTCCGCCTGCTCTTCCCTCTTTCTGGAATGTTCTTTTGGCATCTCTCCTCACAGTTGCATTCACTCTCACTTCCTCAGGCAATCAGCCCTTCATGATCACTCTGTAAAAAGCAGGTCACCCCGCCACTCCCTGTCACAGCACCTGGGGCACTGCCTGTGTGACACACACAGCAATGTGATCCTGGATTCCTTATGAACCTGTTCACATGCTCGTTGTCTGTCCCTGGGGGCTCTAGTGGGGTCTTTCCTGCCCTTTTGTTGTACCCCTAGCATGCAGCTCATGGCTGCGTTCACGAGCAAGTCTAAGTTGTAATTAAATTTCCTCTCTGTCCACCTCTCTCCACACACCCATGCTGCATCTCACGCTTATACAACATTTTGCGTCTACAAGTCATTCAACAATGATCACGCAACAAATATTTATTGAGGCCTCATGTCAGGTGCTGCTGAGGATTACAGATCAAGAGACGAAAGAGTCTTCACTCTGCCTCCAGGTTGCTCATCATCCAGCTGGGAAAATAGACGCATATGCAGATACATAGGATATGATGTGGTCACTCGGCAATTGATAGATATGCCTGTGAGCACGAAGAAAGAGTGACTGCCCCAGTCTGGGGTGGAGGGTTTGGTGATTTGAGAGAGGGAGGATAAAGAAGAGGGATGGGGTTAAGGCTCCAGGGTTGCAGCCCAGGTGTGTGGGGCAGACAGAGGGGCCAGTCTCGAAGATGCCCCTGTGGGAGGAAGAGGGGCTCAGAGTCAGACTTGCTGAGCGGCAGTGCCTGCAGGACATCCAGGTGGCGGCACGGCAGACACTTGGATAAATGAGCCTGAAGCTCGGGGGAAGTCTCGGGTGGGGCTGTGGAATGAGATCCGGGAGCCAAGGATGGAACCCCGGGGACAAAACCTCTTTAGAGCGTTCTTTTAACTGAAGAATATATTAAGTCAGAGAGAAAAATGTCGTTCAGATGATTCAACAACTTCCCTGTGGTTTCATGTATCAACTTGTAATCAGTAAAGGAAGAGAATACGAAATGCAGCCCCGTAGCCTCTACAGCGCTCCTGAAATTGGAAGCGGAGCCAGCGGGGACCACCTTCCTACGTGAGTTGCCTGGCTTTGCTTTTTGGTTCTGTCATATTCCTTTGCTGGGATCGGAGTCCTACATTAAGGTGCTTTATTTAGCCCCCTTATAATCTCCAGTCTCCCACTCCGCAAGAGAAATGACCTTCCTTTCTGTGCAAACACAACCTCAAGATAGGTCTCCTACGCCCTCTTCCTTCCAGATGCTCTCCTACAAGGACCTCCCACAGATAAATTTGGTAGCAGCCAAGGTTCACTACCAGGCCCAAACCAACAGCAGGGGAGCAGTGGAGGGGAAGAATACAGGCTTTGGAAGTAGACAAGGCTGGAATTAGAATTTTGTTTGTGTCACTCGCTAGCTCAGTTTCCACATCTGTAAAGTGGAAATAAGCACATGTGTGTCATAGTCTCGTAATGAGTCTCATAAACTTGAGTCTCTTATTAGATCAGATTATGCTTAGTCTCAAACCAATCCCTTCTGCCCCATGTGTGCACTTGCTATCTCTACCACCTCAATTCTTTTTTATTTACTAAAAGTGGGATTAGGAGCACGATGCACAGCACTACACAAGGCTCTGTGAACACACACATTGATCTGAGATATTCGTTGACACCCAAATGTGAAGCTCCCGCATGAAATATCAAAAATAACCCCCTTAACCTTTTGTTAATCAGAAAAAAAAAAAAAAAACCAAGCAGATCTTAATTAGAGGGTGATGATTTGCTTTATGGACTCAAAAGGCTCAGATAGGGTAGATGACATTTATGCCTTATTGTCAATTTCTAGACCCTTCGATAAAATTTGCAAGAAGCAAGGTGGAGGCATATTTTTGTATTTTCATAGCGCAAAACAATTGAGCTTAAACATAGTCCATTTTTCCACTGAGCTCCTTTATGCAACTCCATGAATTCTGGCAAATTCTCCAGACAAGATGATCATAACGGAGAAGAAACCACATTTGTCCTTTCTGTGTGTGTGTGTGGTGGCAGAACCAGACATGTTAGAGAAACACAGTCCAAATGGGTGAGCATCGTTAGGGAGACAGGGGATCAAAGGGCTGAGATGGCCCATGCATGCCTTGGATGACAGAGAGAGCTGTTTTATGGTGGGAAGTTAAAAAGCCCCATAAGATTCCAGGTGCCTGGAAACAGGAGATGACAGGATCCTGCGGGAGGGAGGTCACTGCTGCTGGCGTCTGTGCCTCCACAGATGCTTTAAACAGGTCGGAGATAAGACCAGAGTTGTGTCTGGAGTGCGTTACTTCCCGTTCAACCCTACTTCAGGACTGGAGCAGCTGCGTGGGGTCATGTGTCATCCAAATCAAAGGTTGTTGAGCTGGAGCCAGTGGAGGGAGTGCCAAAGGAGGGAGTGCCAAAGGAGAAGAGGACCCGTGCTCCCCACAGCCCTTCTCCAAGCAGGTCTCCAAGGTTTGCAGAGTGAAGAGAAGAGCTGCTTCACCTGGGAGGATGTGGGAGCTGGACAACTCCACGCATCAAGATTAATAGAACCTCCTTATCCCCAACACAGTATCTTCCAGAAGATAGGAATCTATTTCCCTCTCATGTGAAAGCAACCTGCAGGTGGGCAGCTCAGGTTAATACGGCATGTGGAGAGTTTCAGGGATCTGTGGACTTTGTGGCTTTTATGTCTGCTATTTCTAGGGTGTGGAGCTTGACTTCCTAGTCCAAGAAGGCTGCAGGACCTCCAGCCCTCTCTTCTGGATTCCATGTATTCCAAACATGAGGAGGAGGCAAAGAAGAGGAGGTCAGGAGCCAGCAAAGCTGCCTTTTAAGACAGCTTCATGAAAGCAGCCTCATGTTTTCCACTTTTATCTCAATGGCCAGAACATAGTCACACAGATACACCAAGCTCCAGTGAGACTGGGGAGTGGACTGTCCTCTTCTAGACAGCCAGGCACTGTCAAGGAACTGTCTCCAAGCTGCTGACCAACAGCGAGAGATCTATTGATGAAACTCCTCAGGCAGCTCTGGGAGTCTCTGACAACTCAGAGCCCTCGGTTTCCATGTACACACATGGAATTATACATAGCAAATATTATGTTTGCTGTTGATGTATGTTAATGAAAGGAAAAGACTTAAAATATTGCCAAACTATTACCAAACAGTATTTGAGAGGAAGCTTCTCTTTGTGGAGTTATTCCACTGAGTAGATGAGGAAACAAGAAAACAGAGTTTAACATTTGGCAAGCTTTCTTTAAAAATAATGGATCCTTGGCCGGGCGCCGTGGCTCACGTCTGTAATCCCAGCACTTTGGGAGGCTGAGACGGGCGGATCACGAGGTCAGGAGATCGAGACCATCCTGGCTAACACGGTGAAACCCCGTCTCTACTAAAAAATACAAAAAACTAGCCGGGCGAGGTGGCGGGCGCCTGTAGCGCCAGCTACTCGGGAGACTGAGGCAGGAGAATGGCGTGAACCCGGGAGGCGGAGCTTGCAGTGAGCTGAGATCCAGCCACTGCACTCCAGCCTGGGCGACAGAGTGAGACTCCATCTCAAAAATAAAATAAAATAAAATAAAAAAATAATGGATCCAGGCATTGAACACAGGTCTGTTAACATAACAAAATGAAAAACAATCAAGCGTTGTACGCCTCCTCGTGAGACAACACCTCATGTAGATAGATTTCCTGTTTAAAAAAATTGAGTTTCATGAACCCCACCACTCCAGCTTGCAA